CAGCTGCTACGAGCAACGTATGGTGGGGTCAAAATGCTTCATTTCGAACGTGCTACCTATCCCACAACCCACCATTGTCACTGTGGCCAACAACCAGTAGCTCGAAGCCAAAGTTTACGACATCGTTGTCCTCAAAGCGCATGATAGCAACCTGCACATCATGCTCAACGACGTGCTCATCGTCAGAGACCTAAAGTATAATCTCCTGTCCTACAAGCATCTTGTCCAGAGTGGTGTCGAAATGTTCACGGACAGAGAAAGCAGGTTCATCATGATGTACAGGCCAGACAGTAGCCGCCATGATGCCGAAGCTCGCTACATCAGCAAGGCGTGCCCAGACAACGGCATTTACATCCTGGATTTTGACATTTCGGATTGAAGCACAGATTCTAGAGACCTCATCGATCTCCAGCCCTAGTGCAGCGGAGGGAACTGGGGACCCATGCACCCTGACGGTCGCCCTTGGATCAAGCATTACGCCCATCCCCAAGAGATTGACCTCCACGCACCTGGTGGCCTCTGTTGCAACTGTCGCACCCCATCTGCCTCCACCACAACAAAGAAGGAGGGGGGAGATAAAAAAGATAAGGGAAAAGCAACTTCCGACGAGAAAGGAAAAGCACCCGCTGAATGGGAGAAATGCAAAGCACCTGCCGAGGAGAAGGGGAAAGCAAGAGTTGAAGAGGAAGACGAAGATGAATTCTTGGATATTGTTGAAGAAGCAAAATGACAGACTCACACCCTTCAGGAATGAGGGATGCTGAACTAGCAGCAATGTTAACAATCTTCCAGCCCTGCAAGTCAAGGGAAGTCCCCAATGTGCAAGATCGCCTCCATCTCCTCACTCACTACGTGAGATTAGGAGCTTTTGACGGGAATGGCACTTTTGACAAGAGCTTTCCCACTCGAATGGGAAACCTACCACGCTATACGCAACTAGTATCATCGAGACATGACAGTTGAACAACTACAACATCTAGAAAAGGAGGAGATCCGCCGTCAAACAGACAAGGCAGCAGAAGAAATTGTGGAATTCGAACGCGCTCTCGTGGCGGATGGGGCTCAACCCAAGGATGGGGAAGCAGCAGCTCAGCACTAGCTGGAAGGAACTCAGCAGCAGGATGGGGAACAATGCAAGAAGAGAAGGAGGAGCCAATCGAGGAATACCTGGCAAAAGCATAAAAAGAAGAAGAAGCAGAAGAGGAGTGGGCAGAAAAATGGCCTTATCATACTCCCATTCCCATAGGCATTTCCCCACCAGGAACCCCCTCCCCTCTCACCACCTACTCCTTCCTATAATCTCCCATCGGCAACAGCCTTGACAGAGACGCCATACTGCCTTATTGCCATTACCCTCACAACCCACTAACTCTCGACTTAACACCAATTGGCCCCCTTGACCCCAACACTGCTGAACCGTCCACCATACACGAACCACCACCAAACCATCTCCCGTGCCCCAACATCACCGAAGGAACAGCGGACATAGACGGCACTACAGCACCTCTTGCAGGCGTCACCACAGTCACAGTTGCACAACCACTCAACTCTCGTACACTCATACTTGTTCTCGGACTATTAATCCCTCCTCGGTCCATTCCACAGCCCACTAACCAGCACCACCGAACTGCTCGCCTTCTTCTCATGATCACCTTCACTGCGCACACCTCAAGACCTCTGGCGCAAGCGCCTTGGTCACCCCTCTCAGGAAGTGCTCAACAACTGCATCTGTGCTGAAATCTTCATTTGCGTAACCTTGCCCAGACGGATCCCCTGTCGCTATTGACAATAACCGCGACACCTCTTGCACCGTCTGCCCCACAGCTGCACTCAGCCACAAGCCCTTCAAGCTCCTTAAACCCTGCACAAACCGCTACGAAAAGCTGCAGAAGGTGTATAGTGACTTCCTCGTTCTCAAACAGACCGGCAGCAATAGCGAGGAATACCCTTGCCTTCGTGGATGCACACTCTCGCTTCGTCTAGGTGGCGAATGTGTCTCACAGGAGAAAAGCGTGCAACATCTTCAAGGTATGGCACAGCCACTCAGAGACTCTATCCGGCTGCACTCAAATCTGGCATATAGACTTCAAAGCTGAGGTCAAAAGCAAGGAGCTCGAGGCCTACACGAAGAAAAAGGGGATCGTCCACAAGCCCTCCCTCCCCTACACACACCCTCAGCAAGGCATTGCAGAACGCACCAACAGGACCTTGATGACCAACGTTCACGCCCCTTTGCAGCAGAGCAACGTTGAGGCGAAGTATTGGCCTTACACCACGAAACACGTTGTCCATCTTCACAACCTCCTCAACACCACCACCCACACTAATCGATTGTCCCTGCACGTCAAGTTCATCAGCGACAAAGGCGATATCTCCATGCTCCACGTCAGGGGTTGCATGGTACAATACCGCTTTGCAAGTGCCACCACAGGAAAATTCGAATGACATACGCACTAGGGAGTGCCCTGGGCATAAGCTTTGAGCATCATGCCTAGAATATTATGGACTACAAAATTCGTCAGATTTAGTGCGATAGGCACGCTGACAAAACCAGGGCCAACGGAATCTCGGATAGCCTGGCACGATACGCATGACCACCCTGCAGCTTCGGCTTCGTCCAGGAGCTTCTGATAATAATTGCTGTCGTGATTGACCTGGTGAATAAAAATGAAAATGAATGATGACAATAGACTCCCAAATCCTTCTTTGCTGCACACTAAGACACTCCAAACCCCACTCCCCCTCTAACTCATGTGTTCGTAGCCATGCACATGCGTGAGCATGCATACAAAGCAAACACATGAGTGAGATGTGCGGAGTTATGTGATGTCTGGTGGGGCTGCACTCTGTGATGCTGCCACACGTGTGAGTACACTTGCACCGCCTTGGACTTGCTGATCATTTGCACATGTTGTACTTGGGGGAGTCAATTGGAGCCCGCACAAGGGGCTGCAAGTGAGATGCTGCTTTGCTGTAATAGGCTTGGTGAGATAATCATCTGCCTGCCAGGCTGTCGGGCAATACTCCAGCCGCACAACACCATCACGAACGGCCTTCCATGTCCAATGGTAACGCAATTCTTTGTGCTTAATGCGTTGACTCATTCCTTGTACTCCATTCCTTGTTGCAAGTGCAATCGCACTTTGATTGTCCACAAAAAGGACAGTTGGTTCTTGTTGTGGAAAACCGAGGTCTTCACACAAGCGTCGAAGGTAAGTAGCTTTCCTTGCCCCTTCAAAGATTACAAGGAATTCCACTTCAGCTGTTGATGTTGCAATGACTGTTTGTGGCTTAGTCGTCCAACTGACAGCAGCTCCTCCCAAAGTAAACACGTAGCCTTTAACAGAGTAACACCCCACTTTGTTCGTATTGTCCGAGTCCGTGTATCCTCGGAGCACCAAGTCCTCTCCTCCATAGACCAACCCTACGTCTGTAGTGTTCTGTAAGTTCTTGAAGACTCTATGGATTCCAAGCAATGTTGTTGCTGTTGGCTTGCTTCACTTGCTGAAAGTCAATTTTGTCTGGTGACTCTCCTTGTGGTCCAGATTCCTTGGTGATTGGCGTAAAAACCCCTTCTTCCATCTCGAAGTTCGCCAAAGCCTGAAAGATGTACTTTGTGAGTCCAAGTGAGATGGAGTCATTGTCAGTAGTAATGTTGACAACCAGTGTCATGATCTTGCTGACGGTCAAGGTAAAATTTTGCTTCAAGTGTTTAATCACAGCTTCATTTCGAGGTTCAAGAGGTCTCACATACACGTCTCTGTCGATTGGTGCATGAGGGAATGCATTAGGGATGTGTAGCTGCACCACCTTCGGCTTTGTGGCCGATGCGCTGGCAACAAACATGAGCGAGGTAGGTCCTTGGCTCACAGGAGCATATGTTTCATCGTACGTTCCCCATGTCTGTCGGCATCCTTTCATCACCCAGCGTGCTTAATTCGGCTGGTCGCGTTCATCTAGTTTCACCCTTAAAACGACCCCTTCGGTGAGCACTGGTGTTCATTTCGGTACGTCCGCTCTGTCCACCACTTTGTATGCTTCCAGTTCGTCAAACTTGGCCAACTCTGAATCAAAAATAGCTTGCCACAGATTTGTGTACAGGCCATTAACCATATCCTTGAGTGTTTTGGGCTTCTTGTATGCTAAGTTCACAATGGGGACGCCAGTTGCTGAACATCGTAGGACGTGTTGTTGTAAGCTGGGAATGTCGTTGACTTCGTGTGACTTGTTCTTGTCTGTTAGTTTGGCTTGTCTCGCCTGTCGGTTCCCAAACAGTACGTCCAACACCGTCATGCCGTCCACCATTTGTTGTTCTCTAAGCACAGTCACCGTTGGGTTGAAGTGAACCCGTTGTGGAGTTACATCTTGGGCAGAAAGCACTATCCCATCAGGTGGGCAGGCGAAGTCATAAAGATGGCTTGCCTCGTTTTCTACTTCGTTGTCGTCAACACCTTCAGGAATGGAAACGCCTACTGCAGGTAAGTTACTTGTTGCAGTCCCTTCTCCTGTCTCGGTTGCATCGGCTGCAGTTGAGCCCTCTTGAGTTGAGTCCCGTGTCTCTGCTTCATGTCCTCCTGGAAAAGTTTCAAACTCAGACCCAATGCCTTCTCCCCCTCAAGTCGAGCCGTCAATGTGCGGTGAGACACCTTCCATGTAGCGTTGGTGTTCGAGTACAGATTCAGCGTCCGGCAGCATGAGGTCATCAAAGAAGAGAGCTGAGCGTGTGTCTGTGTCCACGTCGCTTGCCAAGTCCCGGGCAATCCACGCTTTCCGAGCGCTTGAGAGTTCAAAAAACATCCCAGTCCGCCCTCTTTGTTCAAAAATTTCCGAAACTACCTTGAGGAGGGAGATAGTAGCAGATGCAGCCGAATGTTCTTGCCATTGAGCCATCTGCCGTCTTTCCGGTCATCATGAAATTTAACGAGTGTGCTGATGGGATACTGCTACATCTGATGCAGTTATGTAGCCATGCAGCGTACTCCAGCGCATAAGGCTAGAACTTAGAGGAAAGGCTGGCCCCGGTTGTCATTGCCCGCACTCGGTCCATAAGTGTGCAGTGACTCCATTCTGCTGTGGCGTATGAGAGCAGAGGTAATCCGTGAAGGCATTTGCTGTATACTCCCCCCATTTGTCTTCATCTTGCGATGCCAAGCCGAGAAAACAACTGCCATGTCGGATCGGCGAGCCAACGACGCCACCCACAGGTAGTTGGTGTAGTCGTCCTTGAGCGTCAGCACATAGCGAAGTGAGGGGTGAGCATCGCCCAAGTCCATGATGTCACTATGCACGAGCTCTAAGGGTCGGGTTGTGCGCTTGTCACTACCTGTGGGAAACGGGGTTTTGCTCATCTTCCCTTGAAGGCATGACTCACACAGGGGTTTGAGAGGGTTTGTCTTGTTGGAAATGGAGAGGCCAATGTCCCCTTTTCGAAACGTGGCATCCATAGATGTGTATGACGGATGGCCCAAACGCTTATGTGCCATGCGGTAAGTGATGGATGCATGAACGGAATGTGCATTCAGCCCTCCATGATCATGGTTTTTCGATGCTTCACCCTCATGATCGTGGCCAGAATCATGGGCAGATGCATGTGCAGGCTCATATTGCACCATGAGCACTCCATGCATGGTCATTCCAACTCCAATGAGCACACACTCATCTTCATCAGCCATGATTATCTCCGTGTGCCCGTCAGCGTGTGTGTGAATCCTTGCTCCCTTCTTTTGTAGCTGAAATATGAGAGGAGGTTAAAATTCAGTCCGGGTACATATAGAACTTCGGTGTAGCGAACCGTTATCTCATCTGGTGCGGTTGCTCGAATGGTTCCCACCATCGTGCTCAGCAACTGGCTCCCATCAGCAAGCTCCACACGCACAAGTTCGTCCAACTCCTCTAAATCCTCAAACTAGCTCTTATCCGAGGTCATATATTGGCTGCATCTGCTGTCCAGTAGCCACAAGTGTCAAGCGAATCGTTGCAATGCCAATGTCAGCTTGTCTCGAATTGCCGTTGCTCGATTGATCTACTCCTCCACCCTCTCTTGGTTCCCCAATTTCAGATTTTCAAATTGCTTCAAGAGAGGCATCTCCGCCACCGACTCCTTGGCCTGGTAAGTTTCCATGAGGTACTCCTATGCCTCAAATGCCAGACTGTAAGATTTTTGAAACACGTCCAGTTGCAGCTGAATTGTTGCGCTCACGCTGTGCAGTAGCACCCAAAACGCCAATTTTGCACGTTGTGAGTAGTCCGCTTGCAGAATTTCCAGCCGTTCCATAGCGTCTTGCATGTTGCCGTTGGCCATGGTAACTAGGTGTTACGGCATTACCAAGAACTCCCATAAATTTGTCACGTGTGCGTTCATGTGAAACCGAAGTGCTCACTCCCCGGAAGTTTGTGCCGTCGAACAGAGTAGTAGTGAACGCCTTGTCAACCATTGCTCCCACCATCTTGCGTGGGAGCATGTCCTTGTCTCCTTCCGTGTACTTGCGTGGGAGCTGGGTCGAAGAGAGTAGGCACGATAGACGGGCGAGGTAGTTGCACCGTGCGTTGCGTGCCTCCACGTTGACAACCATGTTCGAGCACTTCCACTTGATCCCGCCGCATCACGCCATATCACATTACATGATAGCATCCCATGTCCCATCCGCCCCATGCTTCGTGCAGGATCGACTCCCATTTGTGGATGAAGCGCGTGAGGAGGTTAGGTGCTGTCACAAAAAACGTAACATCTGCCCATTTGGGGAACTCCAATAGGATGGGAGTTAGTAACAAAGCGTCGTCGTGGAGGAGCACCAATAGTGTAGGAAGCTAATCCTACACCTTCCACGCCCACTTGACCGAATCTGCCACCTCCTTGTCCCATCTCAATCGCATCATCACGGCTCCTTGCATTCTGCCCACTTCCATACTCATCATCCCTTCCGCGTGCTTCCCTTTGCATGGTTGATTGAGGTGCAGGGTTGGAGCTCCCTTCCCTTTGGATGGATGCATCCCTTCCTTGGGATGATTGTTCTCCTTGGGGTATGCTTCCTTCCCCTTCACCGTCAATTCCTGCATGCACGTTTGAAACACGAGCTTGGTTAGTACGTGGAGTGCTTGGAGGAGAATGTGATGTCATTGTTGAACATGGCACGCAACGATGTCTGAAGTGAATGATAACAGATTTCTGACTAAATTTTGGCAGCATGCCCTCTAGAATGGATCTGAGACCATGCTAGAAAGGCATAGTTCCAACATAGCGGAATCTTGATTGTAGAACAGAATAGTAAGAGAAACATGCAACTGAATGGATTGATGATAAGGATGGTCAGAACAGGGTACGTATTTATCTATCCAGCTAACCCCCTCAGGATGGTCCTATCCACACCAATAATGCCGTACCAATAATCCTACCCGCCAGACCCCTAGATTCGTTTTGGGCCACGCTGATCCATCAGCGTCGGTAAAAGGAAAAACGCTGATGATCAGCGTTACCTAGAAAAAAAAAAGGCTGAAAATTTAGCGTCGTTGCTGGAATTAACTCTGACAAATCTGTGTGAGGTTTTGTTATAAAGCTGAAGTATTTTATTTTTATGTACCGTAACATGGTTCATGGCTGGTAGATTGGCGACATAATCGGGGGGGCGAGAATCACGTGGGTTCGAGAGAGGCAGGTGAGGTGGGGGGAGGGGCGGGAGAGGCAGGTGGGCAAGGAAGCAGGAAGTGGGTGTGCAGGGGGATGTGGGGCGGGGAAGGGGAAAAACAAGGTGTGCGCGAGGTGGGCTGGGGAAAGGGGCGATATGACGAGGTGGGCAGCGGGCTGGAGGGAGGGGGCAGAGAATTAAGTCGTTGGGGGGCGGGGCGAGAGAAAGTGATCGGCGAGGGGAGAACTGAGGAAACGTGGGGGCTGCAGGCACAATTTGCGGACTTAGCATATGTTCCCGTTCAAACTACGAGATCAGCGTACACTCATAAAAAGGTGTGGAAAATCAGACAAGGAAAAAACAAATTGGCTGAAGAATCAGCCATCACTAATGAAAAAAGGCTGATGGAACAGCTAAGGTACGTAAAAAGGGCCTGATCTAACACCGAATAAGCGTACAAACGCTGGTACCTAGGGGACTGCTACCCGCCAATAATTCTTACCCTTTTATTATTCCTTGACTCCAATCATTACGGCCGTACAATAATTGTACAATTATTGTAGGTCCTGGAGTCTTACAAAGAGTACTACAGTAAAATCAAACAACATTTATATTATCTTACGTTTGTATCTTTTACAGTAAGAATATTATTATAACAACGCATCAGTCATGACCTAAGCACATCCGCCAATCAAAAGGGTGCGCTTCTATCCGAGGGCACCTGGAATATGCGGGGAATAAGAGTACCCGTATTACCCGGCTGATAGAGCGGGGGTCTAATCCTACCCCGGAAAAAATGGGGTTGGGGCTATTAACTGGGTGTAAAACTTTAAAGCTTTTGTATACATTTGAAAGTACTGTTGGTGTTTGTACAGTAGCCAAATAGATTTCGCCACAACGAGACCGAATGAGCTTGGCGAGGGGGCTGGCGAAAATTTGAAGCCAACCTACATTTAGGGTTGCAAACACGAGGAACCCTTCCGTCACCAACTACGGAGCAACACACACAGGCTGACTAGCTACTAAAAGGCCTGGATAGAACTACATGGGAGTCGACAAGGCGGCGAGCGGAACAGCGCAAGCACTCAAATAAATGATGGTAGTAAGGGAACATATACATTATTGGCTTCGGCCACGACAGCTAGCATCTATCGAGCCCGCCAACTCCCTCTAGCTGCAGCGCCGTTTGCAATCGGACGAGACTAGCTGTAATAGGGTTACTAATATTTCAAATTTCAAAACTTTTGAACCTCCCTCTTTCAAATGTATACAAAAGCTTTAATGGACCTGGGGTCTAATCCTACATGATATTTTTTCCTTCTAAGTCATGTCAAACACTCTTTTACAGCATCAGAGGTCACCATTCTGATATCGCGTCAGGACAAAATTGACCACGCGCCCTGATATGATGTGTCTCGCTACAGTTTCGTGAAATTTGAGCTTTCTGCACTCGGGGAGGGGGGGGGGGGAGGGATCTAATTCTGAATGCATTAAAAAAAGGGGGGCCTAATACGAAAGTGGAGATAGCATTAGAACCTCCCCCATTTAACGACCCGGGGGGCACGGCCTCAGAAATCAGCGAAAAAAGGCTGATTAGGGGTAAAAACGCTGTGTTTTCAGTGATGGGGTGGATAGTGGGGCTGATCTGTCAAATGCTCGAGCATATTTTTGAGCACGGTCCCAAAAGACACGCGCCCTAAGGGCTGAAATTTCAGTTTTTTTTTTTTTTTTTTTTTTGGTACACTGACGCATCAGAGTTGTCACGAGGGGGAGGGCTGAAATCCCGCAATGGAGATTCGTGTAGGTGCCCTGAAATCCGGATGTCTAGGTACATCTGTTCGACCGTCCCACCGTCAATCACGTCGCATTGGGAAATGGCATCATTTCCGAACTTTCTTTCCACAGCTGTCTTAGTGCGACGGTATCTTTGCTCGTGATTGATTGTTTGGGCAACCACATCACATTGTGGCGAATGGAAAGATAACAGCACCATGCACGCACGTTGCAGCAGCACAGCACAACACCACATAATGGTTGCCGTGCGACTACGAAACCCCCCCACCTCACCCACCCCAAACCTGCAACCAGGTACGTGCATGATGCCAAGGGACGCGTCACCTTGCATCGTGGCACAGAAAGCTTGCCAACGAAGCCTCCTTCTCCAGCTCTTTCTTGCATAACCCCAGCTAGCTGCCGAAGTCCCACCCCACACCCAACCTCGCTAGGGTTTCACTTCATTCGCCCCCAGCCCAGACAATTCTCAACACGCTCTCTCAGTGCTGGGCACGCTCTCGTCTCTGTTCCGCCATGGCTGGCCTTGGCGCCGCCCTTTTTTACGACGAGGGTGACGCCGAGCAAGACGACGCATATAACGATGCCATCAAAGAAGCCCGTATTGGGCTAGATCTTCTTCTTAGATCTTTAGGCCACCATGTTTAACCTCCAGCGCCCACTACACCCGGTCCGGTTCCTATTGTGCCTGAGAACCCGGACGCGCCTTCAAGTCGGGCTGTCCCTCCTACACCAGCTAGTGTTTCCGACACCGTTCACATCGGAACTTCTGCATCGAAGTCGTCAGCACTGCGCACAATCAAGTTCCAGCAACAGAAGCTGAGTTTCTGGAAGGCAACATCAAGCGTCCCAGTTTCGGAAGCTGTTGTCAACAAAACCGCCATGCGCCCTTCTCTTAACGTCAACGTGCAGGAGATCGTTGATGCCGTCTATGCCGAGGCATTAGAGAAGTACAAGTCTAAGTGGCTTGAGCGTTTCTCTTGGCTTATACTAACAAAAACTGTTCGTGGTCTGCCTGCTTTCAAGTGCAGTCTCTGCTCTAGGCACGCCGGTGTCAGAGGACATTGTGGTAGGACAGGCAACGGCGCGACCTACGTCCAGACGCAGGCGTTTCGCAAGCACGTCGGGACGAGAAAACACAAGCTGGCACTGGAGAATCAAGAGGCCCTGCTCTCTGCCGCGTCTAAGCAGCCCCGCATCGACGAGCATAGCAGTTGTCGACACTGAGAAGATTCGGGTCACGTCACTGCTTGACGCGCTTCTGTTCGTCAGCGATTGCGACGCACCCATGTGGACATGGGTGAAGCTGGTGCAGTATCTTGCTCGGAAGGGGGTCCGAGGTTTTCCCAAGAAGGGTCATGGGACGTACTACACTACGTGATTAATGCCGATTCTTTCTTGCATTGTTCTACTTCCATGCTCGGTTCCGCTAATTATTTGCTTTGTCTATATTGCAGCTACGGTTATGGCGAACTTACACAGTCAATAGCTACCTGGCTACAGACGACCCAACTGGAGCATATCCTTAGAAGCCCCTTCATCGGCATCGCCATCGACGAAAGCACACATCGCGACAGGGGGAAGCATCTAATACTTTAAACCACCTTCATTCGGGACCCCGTCGTGGTGACGGAGTTCATGCTGTGGATAAAGCTGACGCCTCTACCCTGTTGAGTCTCCTCCAGTTTCACTTGCAGGCCGTTCGTGTCGACCTGGAGAGGATTTCGGGCATCAGCACCGACGGTGCTGGGGTGATGATAGGGAGTCGTGCTGGACTGGTTGTTCGCCTTCAAGAGAGGATACCCCACCTCGTATCGTGTCACTGCATCGCCCATAGGTTCGTGCCAGTTTTCCTTAATCTCGCAGATTACCTCGTCCTTCCTGTGCTGTTTACTAATGTTCTTTTTTGTGGTTAAACGCAGGGAGGCCCTTGCCGCTAAGGAAGCGGCAAAAGCTCTACCAGTCTTCGACATGGTAGACGACCTCGTCCGCGTGGTTTCATACCTTCTGGGGCGGCTCGGCCCAAAGCACCGGCACTTCATGGACCTTCAAGAGCTTTTCGCCGAGACTAGCCTGGAAGTCCAGGGCATACATCAAGTCCGGTGGCTGTCTCGGGGAGATGTTATACATCGCATCCTTGCAGTGTGGCCTGCTGTGATCGTTTTCCTGGAATAGTTCCATTCCGCCATGATGTGCTCGCCACTTCGTACCGGTTCCATTTCTTCATGTATTTTATTGCTGATGTGCTTGAGCAGTTGAACATCCTGAACAAGACCTTCTAGTAGCGCCAGGTAAGGGTTGTGTGTGCTTTTGCTTGTCACAGTTTGTATTTCTTGTTGTTGGCACGTTACTAATCTAACATCGGCGTCTTTTCCTTTTCCATGCTTGCACGACCTTGTCCCTCTGCACGGTCAGATCAAGCGCACCACGTTACACATAGAGAGCCGATATGTCGACTGTGGGGATGACTTCAGCGGTGGCTTGAGCCGCTGGCTTTCGCCCTTTATCGAGCGCTACGGCCCAAGAAAGGACCGTGAAGTGACTGTGGAGGGGGTCGACTCCGATGGCCGACCATCATCATTCAAGTTAACGCTCCATGAAGATCCAGTTGAAGGCTACGAAGGCCCAGGTATCATGACGCGTGCGTTGACCTCTGCACCGACTTCTCTGAACGCATCGTGGCGAACCTGGAGAGGAGGCTGGGTGACTTGGATTCTCTGTCTGGTGTCCGACTGTTCCTCCTGGATGAGTGGCCGAAGGGCAAGCCGGAACGTCATGCACGATGCGTTGAGTGGCTGTACTCGCTGGTGACACTGTTCAAGGCACAAGAGGCTGAAGACCTACTGCCAGGTGAAGTTACGTTTGTTTTTTCCGTTTGCTACACTGCCATGCTATTGTTTTCATGTGCCCTACCGCCATGCCTGCACGTCCCCGAGTGCCACGGTCAAGTTTGACCCCGTCTTGCATTGTTTGCCTCCCAAACCTCTTGTGTTGTAGCCCTGCCAGGAATCCACGAGCGGCCAATAGGCTGTAGTGGGGTAGCCAATATGGGGTACAACCCAATTAGGGTTAGTACTTGTACCAACTTTCTCATCAATGCATTCATTCCTGCTGCTAGATTCTGACATGGTATCAGAGCAGGTCCAGTTCCAAGACTGCCTTCGTTAGGGCCCACACGATCGTTCCTGCCCGTTGCGCTGCCCCACTCGTTGCACTGCCTTGCCCTGCCCTGCCCTGCGTCGCGCCGCCCCGCGCACGCCCTGCCTGCGTCGCGCTGCCCGCGCGCGTCCTACCCTATTATGCGCCGCCTCGCGCACACCCTGCCTGCGTCGCGCCCCACCCGCGTGCGCCCTGCCCTGCCCGTCACACGACCCGTGCACGCCCTGCCTTGCCCGCACGTCGCGCGTACGCCCTGCCCTGCCCGTCGCGCGGCCCGCGCACGCCCTGCCCTGCCCGCGCGCCGCGCGTACGCCCTGCCCTGCCGCCGTGCGACACGCGCACGCCCTGCCCTACCCGCGCGCCGCGCATATGCCCTGCCCTGTCCGTCGCGCGGCCTGTGCACGCCCTGCCCTGCCCGCGCGCCATGCGTACGCCCTGCCCTGCCCGTCGTGCGACCCACGCGCGCCCTGCCATGCCTACGCGCCGCGCGTACGCCCTGCCCTGCCCGTCACGCGACCCGCGCGCCGCCCTGCTGGCCGCGCGCTGCCTTGCAGCTTGCACACCGCCCCTGGCAGCCCGCGCGCCACCCTAGTGGCCCGCGCGTCGCCCTTTACGGCCCGCGCGCTGCCCCTTGCCTGCCCGCGCGCCCTCTCCTGCCTACGCGCCGCCCTACTTGCAACGCGCCGCCCTGATCTGACCGTGTGCCGCCCCGCCCTACCCTACGCGCTAACCCTAGTGCCTGCTCGCCGCCCTCCCTTCCCTACGTACTGCCCTGCTGGTCACACGCCTCCTTGCTTTGCCCGCTATGACTTCTCTTCGTGGTAGCGGTGGGAGTGGTGGCGACGGTGGTGGCAACAGTGGGAGTGGCGGCTGTGGCCGTAGTGGCAGTCGCGGTGGCGCTGTTCAGTGGGGAGTTTCTGGCGGTGGCCAGATGCAGCTGCAATAGGCGGCTTCCGCGCGTGACCCTTACGTCCCAGCAGCTCCGTGAGTGGTACGCTCAGCGTTGTGCGTCTCGGAGTACTGCTCGCTGCCCGTACGTCATTCGCACAAGTGCTTGGGTAGGTCAGACTTGCGAGACAGTTGGCCACACACAGTCCCACTGCTTCGCCCGTCTGAGTGACTCCTAGCCCGCAGTGTTTGGCGACGAGGCTGAGCTCCCCTGCTGGCTAGAGCTGCTTCGGGACAAAGTGGATATATTTGCTCTAGACTATGACGATACCCTTACTGCCATGTATGCTTTGACTGCTGGTCCTCAGGGTGACTGTTACCTGTGTGTGCCGCTTGACCCTGGTATCGAGGCTGCTGCTCTAGGTGCTAGTGAGTCTGCTCTCTCTGGTACTGCGCCTGCTGAGGCCTTGCACACCTTCACGCTTGACTCAAGTGCTTCTCACTGCTTCTTTCATGACAGTACCACCGTCACACCACTCCCTAGACCCGTTGCAGTCTCACTGGCTGACCCCTCTGGGGGCCCAGTTCTTGCACGTTCCTCCACTGTTCTCCCGTGTCCAGCGGTTCCGTCCGGCTCATTGTCAGGTCTCCACCTCCCCTCGTTCTCGACGAACTTGGTGAGTAACGCAGTCCTTCAAGGAGCAGGGGTTGATACATTTACCCCTAGAGGCCAGCGTGTGGCGATCTGCACGTGCTCCTGGACTGGCCGTCACCTGGCCACGTTCACCCGTCGGCCTGGGTCGAGTCTGTACACACTGACAATTGCACCTCCTCAAGTCGCTGCGTCTGATCAGGTGTCCGCGTCAGGTCAGGTAGCCGCCTCGTGCTCGTGTCGCCTCCTGTCGCACCAGACTCTCCTCTGGCACCACCGCCTTGGTCACCCCTCCGTGCAGCGCACGCCTTCATGGCATGCACTCCTGCCTTCTTGTCTCTGGTCTTCCCAGGTCTCTCCCTCCCCTCCCACCCTCACCTGCCCCGCCCTGCATTCCGTGCGTCAAGGGGCGGCAGCGCGCCGCTCCTCACTCCTCGTTTCCCCCGACGACTGCTCCCCTGCACACTCTTTACATGGACGTGTGGGGCCCCGCCCGCGTCACTGGAAAGGGCCGCGAGCGGTACATTCTGCTAGATGTTGACGACTACTCGCGTTACACCACGGACCGCACGGACCTTCCCGTCCTGCGTCTGCACTCTGACAGAGGTGGTGAGTTCTCCTCCGACCTCTTGCGGGACTTTTGTCGTGGGGAGGGCATCCTCCAGTCGTTCACGCTTCCGGCCTCCCCGCAGCAGAATGGGATTGCAGAGCGCTACATTGGCTTAGTCATGGAGGTGGCTCGTACCTCCATGATCCATGCGGCTGCTCCCCATTTTCTGTGGCCGTTTGCGGTCCGGTACGCTGCGCATCAGCTCAACCTCTAGCCTCTTGTCTCCTTGCCTACACTGCGTTGGACGGGGAAGGTTGGCGATGCGTCGCGGTTCCGGGTCTGGGGCTCTCGTGCCTTTGTCCGCGATACCATCGCGGACAAGCTCTCCTCCCGCACCATTCCCTGTGTCTTCCTTGGCTTCCCTCCTGACGCGCCTGGCTGGCAGTTTTACCACCCCACCTCGCGCCGTGTCCTGCCCTCTCAGGACGTCACGTTTGACGAGTCGGTTCCCTTCTACCGTCTCTTCCCCTACCGCTCTGCCCCTCTCCCCCCTCCGCCGCTCTTCCTCGCTCCAGGTCCCCCTCCGGTAGACCCCCTCCCTCCACAGGGTCCTGCTCCTTTAGGCGTCTCTCAGGTAGACCCACTTCCCTTAGCTGAGCCTGTCGAGGTCACTGGTGACTCTGGTGCTGCTCGGGGTACTGCGTGTGGGGGTGCTGAGCCTGAGCGTGCGGAGCCTGGGGGTGCTGAGCCTGAGAGTGCGGGGTTAGGGAGTGCTGAGCCTGGGCGTGCGGAGCATGGGGGTGCTGAGCCTGTGCGTGCAGATCCTGTGGGTGCTGCGCCTGGGGTTGCTGCGCCTGGGGGTGCTGAGCCTGGGGTACTAAGCCTGGGGGTGCTATGTCTGCTGGTTGTCCTCCGGGCACCTCGCCGCAGCGGTCTAGCCAGCGAGAGCCTCTCTCGCCCCAGCAGTTGCGCGAGTGGTTTGCTCGGCGCACCCGCCTTCGGAGTCGCGCTGCTGGAGCTGGAGGCACAGAAGCTGCAGGCACTGGCGCTGGAGGCGCTGGAGCTGGAGGTGCTGGAGCTGCTGGAGACACTAGAGCTGGAGGTGCTGAAGCTGGAGGCACTGGGGCTGGAGGCGCTGGAGCTGGAGGCACTGGCGCTGGAGGCACTGGAGCTGGAGGCGCTGGCGCTGGAGGCGCTGGAGCTGGAGGCACTGGAGCTGGAGACGCTGGAGCTGGAGGCGCTGGAGCTGGAGGCCCTGGAGCTGGAGGCGCTGATGCTTGAGTTGCTAGTCCTGGAGGCACTAGTGCTGGAGGCACTGTGGAGCCTCTCTCCCCACAACAGCTGTGCGAGTGGTTCGCTCGGCGCACCCGCCTTAGGAGTTGCGCTGCTGCAGCTGGAGGCGCTGGAGCTGGAGGCACTGGCGCTGGAGGCGCTGGAGCTGGAGGCACTGGCGCTGGAGGCACTGGAGCTGGAGGCGCTGGCGCTGGAGGCGCTGGAGCTGGAGGCACTGGACCTGGCGTTGCTGGAGCTGGAGGCGCTGGCACTGGAGGCGCTGGAGCTGGAGGCGCTGGAGCTGGAGGTGCTGGCGCTGGAGGCACTGCAAATGGAGACGCTGGAGCTGGAGGCGCTGGAGCTGGAGGTGCTGGCGCTGGAGGTGCTGGAGCTGGAGGCGCTGGAGCTGGAGGTGCTGGCGCTGGAGGCACTGGAGCTGGAGACGCTGGAGCTGGAGGCGCTGGAGCTGGTGGCGCTGGAGCTGGAGCTTGTAGCGGTGGAGCCAAAGGTGCTGGCGCTAGAGACCCTGGAGCTGGAGGCACTGGTGATCTGGGCACAGTGCAGCAGCGCCCGTTTTTCTTGCCGCCGATGCGGCTGTCCGACCTACCACCTGAGTCGGTGCTCCGTCAGGTTCTTAGTCTTCCTTCGTCCACTGCCCTTCCTCCGGACTCACCGCTGCCTGCCCCGCCTCTTTACACTGAGCAGCCAGCCTCCCTTACAGAGCGTCGTGAGCCTGCGTCTCGTCCTGCCTCCCCTGTTCGCACTGTTCGTCGTGCTCGTCGTGTCCCTCGTCCGCAGCCTCCTCCTATGCCAGGTACTCACACTATGACACTTCGTCCTTCCTCTGTTCCACAGCGTGTCCCTCTGCTGTCTCCTCCTGCGTCCTCTCTTCCTGACGTTCCTGACCCTGAGTCTGACTTGGTCCGTGCTGCCAGTCCCACTATCACGCATCTCCTGGCCATAGTCAACACTGACCCGTCGTTTGAGTCTTCTGCCACGTCTGCCTTAGTTGTTGAGCTTGTGGACTTTGCTGTTGCGTGTCGTCTAGACTACGCTGCTAGTCTTGTTGCTGAGTCTGAGTCTGTCTGTCTTCCGTCCGTCGGGGGTGAGTCTGCTCTTGGCACGGACGTCCTTGAGGACAGGCAGGAGGACTTTGAGTGTCTTGCGGCTGCTGTACCTCATCTCGTGGCCTGGCTGCTTGCACCTGAGGGAGACCTGGATGCACTGGACATCCCGACCCCGCGCTCTTACGCAAAGGCGATCACGGGTCCCTACTCCGCTTAGTGGCAGACAGCCATGGACGCAGAGATGGCATCCTGGAAGTCCACAGGCACTTACGTCGACGCAGTTCCCCCTCTTGGGGCGAACATAGTCGATGGCATGTGGATTTTCAGGGTGAAGCGGCCGTCGGGTTCTCCGCCTGTCTTCAAGGCTCGTTACATTGCACGAGGCTTCAGTCAGCGTCAGGGAGTTGACTTCTTCCAGACCTTCTTCCCCACCCCGAAGATGACCACTCTTCGGTTGTTGCTGCACGTTGCCGCTTAGCGTGACTACGAGCTTCACTCTCTTGACTTAAGCACAGCTTTCCTTCAATGGGTCGTTTCTTGAGGGTACCCAGTGGAGCCTCCGGCGGCCAGTCTACGGTCTCCGCCAGGTGCCTCGTGAGTGGCACGACACACTGAGGACGACGCTTGCGGCTCTCGGGTTTGCTCCTTCGACTGCTGACCCGTCGTTGTTTCTGCGCACCGACACTTCGCTGCCGCCGTTCTACATCCTCGTGTACGTCGACGACTTGGTTTTTGCCATTGCTGACAATAAGGCACTCACCCTTGTGAAGTCGGAGCTGCAGAAGAGACACACGTGCACTGACCTGGGTGAGCTGCGCAGCTATCTTGGCTTGCAGATCACCCGGGACAGAGCACGCTGCACCATCACCCTAACTCAGTCACACATGGTGCAGCAGGTCCTTCAGCGCTTTGGCTTCCAGTTCTCCTCACCACAGTCCACTCCTCTGCTTACCCGTTTCTCGCTCTCAGCTCCACCTTCGGACGAGTTCATAGAGCTGAGTGGTGTTAAATTATATATATATTGTGTAGGTTGTGTAGGCTACAGTGGGGTAGCCACTAAGGGGTACAACCCCTTTAGGGTTTCACATTTGTATCCCGTTCCTCTCATAGTTCACTCATTATTGCCTAGAACTCTAACATGGTATCAGAGCAGTAGGTCCGTAGGACCGCTTCTCTTAGGGCCCGCTCGTTACCGCGTTACCCCACAGCCTACCCTGCCCTATATCGCCCGACCGCGCCGCCCCTGCAGCTACGCGTGCTGCCTTTGCTGCATTGCGCGCCGCCCGCACTGCCCCATGCACGACCCCCCTCGCAGCCTGCGCGCTGCTTCCCCTGCCCCTCGCGGCCTCTCAGCAGCCCCGCGCGTCGCCCGCACTTCCCCGCGCAGGCCCTCCGCAGCCTTGCGAGCCGCCCGCACTGCCCCGCGCACGACCCCGGCAGCCTGCGCGCTGCTTCCCCTGCCCCTCGCGGCCCCCTTAGCAGCCCCGCGCGCCACCCGTCCTGCCCCTCGCACTGCGCCAACTGCCTGCGCGCCGCTGTCACCGCCCGCGCGCAGCCCCTGCACTGCCGTCTGCAGCCGTCGCACTGCATCTACCCCGCCCCGCGCACGGCCCCAGCAGCCCGCGCATGCCCCTGCAGCCGTCGAGCTGCTCCTGCCCCACCCCGCGCGCCACCCTTGTCGCCCGCGCCCGCCTCCTGCAGCCGTCGCGCTGCCCCCTGCCCTACCCCGCGTGCTGCCCTTGCTGCCCGCGCCCGCCTCCTGCAGCCGTCGCGCTGCCCCCTGCCCTACCCCGCGCGCTGCCCTTGCTGCCCGCACCCGCCTCCTGCAGCCGTCGCGCTGCCCCCCCCCCCCTGCCCTACCCCGTGCGCCGCCCTTGCTGCCCGCGCCCACCTCCTGCAGCCCTCGCGTTGCCCCTGCCTTCTGCCTGCGCGCCAGCCTTGCTTTGTTGCGTGCCGCCCCACCAGCCCTGCGCTGTCACTGAGCTACTATGGCTTCCGTGCGAGTGCTCGCGTTCGATCCTGATGTCCGCCCTATCAAATTCGATACATGGCTGCAGGACCTGCAGCTCTACCTGCTGAGCGACACTAGAGGTGGCGTTTCGCTCTATGACGTAGCCACTGGTGCCTCTCCTGCCCCACCAGACTCAGCTGACGCTACGACTCGCTCTCAGTGGGTTACCCGTAACGCTGTTGCTCGCCTAGCCATTCGCACTCACCTGCTGGTAGCTGAATGCCAGCATTTTGACCGAGCGAAAACCGCTAAGGCCCTCTATGACGCTGTAGTTGCGCGCTACTCTTCCCCTGCCACTGCTGCGCTTAGCCGCCTCATCCTACCCTACCTTTTCCCGGACGTGTCGTCCTTCGCCCTGCTACTCTCCACTTTATAATGACCCGCCTCCCTAACTCTCTTAGTGCAGTCCGGGACACCCTTCTCGCTCTCCCCCCCACAGACCTCACTATCAACTTGCTAGGGAAGCACCTTCATGCAGCTGAGGCTAACATGGCGCTGTAGGTGCTACCCGTGGCACCCCTCGCACGCCCTTCTTTGAGGGGTGCTCCCCCTCCCCCCTCGCCCCCTCTGTTGCCTCTGCCGCTGCTGTCGACTTCCTTGGTGCTGAGGAGGTCGGTGCTGCTTCTGCTCCTAGTGGGAAGCGCCGCAGCGGCAAGGGCAAGGGGGGCAAGGGTGGTGGTGGTGGCGGCGGGTGGGGTGGTGGTGGTGGAGGTGGTTGGGGAGGCGGAGGTGGTGGAGGTGGCGGTGGGAGTGGTGGAGCGAGTGGGGGCGTCGGCGGCAGAGGTGGCGGCGGCGGCGAGGGTGGTGGTGGCGTTGGTCGTGGTGGCAGTGGGAGCAGTGGTGGCGGGAGTGGCAGCGGCGGGAGTGGTGGCAGCGGCGGCGGTGGTGATCGCTCTGGCGCAGTTCAGCGGCAGCAGCAGCAGCGTCCGCGTGAGGCCCTCTCGCCCTAGCAGCTTCGTGAGTGGCTTGCTCAGCGTACGGCGTCTCGGGGTGGTGGTAGTGGTCGTTGCTCGTACGTTATTCGCACAGGTCCCCGCGCTGGTCAGACGTGCGGGAAGTTTCACACCCAGCACTACTGTTTGTCAGAAATAACTGAGCAGGAATGAATGAACTAGAACAGAGTTTGGTACAAGTAGGAAACCCTAACTTTGTGTACCCCCTAAGGTGTAACCCACTACAGCCTAGACAATATAAACATGCAATGTTTGACACACCCCCATAGGCGCAGTGGGAAACAACCACAGGGTCACAAGACCAGTCAAAGCAAAGCAAAGCAAGCTCAGGGTGGATCTCAAGGATTCCACACAAATTCCGAGCACAAGCAAGCGGTCACAAGACCAGTTCACATGCAGGTTTATAACAAAGTAAGAGATACAGTGATCACAACCTAGCAAAAGTAAGCAAGAAGGCATATATATATAGTGATCACAGTACAAGTAAGGTCAAGAGGTAAGCAAGTGAGGCCCAGTAGGTACAAGGCCTAGTAGAGTGCAAAAGCGCTGATGGTCACAAGGCTGAAGCGCCTTGGTGAACACATCAGCAGTGTTGGCCTCCGTGGCCACGTAACGCAGACAAAGCTGACCACGCTGCTGCAGCTCTCGAGCAAGGAAGTACCGCAGAGCGATGTGCTTCGTTCTGTGCTCCAGTCTGTGCTCCTCACACAAGGCAATGGCAGCCTTGTTGTCGACGTACAGCACTGGAGGAGAACGAGGCCGCTCTCCGAGGTCGGTCAGCAGGTAGGTCAGCCAGCGTAGCTCCTGAGCAGCCATGGCTGTGGCGTAGATCTCAGCCTCACAACTGGAGCTGAGAACAGAAGAAGAGCGAGTAGAACGCCAAGAAACTGAGCCAGAGCCAAGGCTGAAGGTGTAACCCTGGGACGACCGCTGAGTAGCCTGGTCGTCTGCCCAAGAAGCGTCTGAGTGCCCTGTGAGAACAACCCGGTCTCGCCCTCCAAGCACAAGCCCCATGCCCGACGTACTGCACAAGTAGCGCAACACCCTCTTAGCAGCATCCATGTGCTCCTTCCGGTGACGGCCAGGAGCGACATAGCGTGCTAGGATGCTAAGAGGGTATGCAAGGTCAGGTCGAGTGCAGGTCATCAGGTACATGAGGCAGCCCACAAGCTCTGGATACGGGCCACTCGGCTCTACGGACTCATCCGAAGGCAGAGCTGAGAGCGAGTGACCGGTAGGCAGAGGAGTGGACTGAGGCGAGGAGTACGTGAAGCGGAAGCGCTGGAGAACCTGCTGCACCATGTGTGACTGAGTCAGGGTGATGGTGCGCCGTGCTCTGTCCCGGGTGATCCGCAAGCCAAGATAGCTCGTCAGCTCACCCAGGTCTGTGCACGTGTGTCTCCTCTGCAGCTCCGACTTCACGTGAGCGAGTGCCGCGGTGTCAGCAGTGGCAAAGACCAAGTCGTCGACGTACACGAGGATGTAGAACGGCGGCAGCGAGGTGTCGGTGCGTAGAAACAGCGACGGGTCAGCAGTAGAGGGAGCGAACCCAAGAGCCGCAAGTGTCGTCCTCAGTGTGTCGTGCCACTCGCGTGGCGCCTGGCGGAGACCGTAGACCGGCCGCTGAAGCCTCCACTGGGTGCCAGGAGGAAATGACCCAGTGAAGCCAGGGGGGCGGCGCAGCCAGATCTCCTCGTGCAGGCTGCCCTGCAAGAAAGCAGTGCTGAAGTCAAGAGAGTGAAGCTCGTAGTCGCGGTGAGCGGCTATGTGCAGCAGCACCCGAAGAGTAGTCATCTTCGGGGTGGGGGAGAAGGTCTGAAAGAAGTCTACTCCCTCTCGCTGACTGAAGCCTCGAGCCACGTAGCGCGCCTTGAAGACAGGTGGAGAACCCGGAGGCCGCTTCACCCTGAAAATCCACATGCCACTGACGATGTTCGCCCCAGGAGGGGGAACCTCGTCTACGTAGGTGCCTGTGGACTTCCAGGAGGCCATCTCTGCGTCCATGGCTGTCTGCCACTGAGAGGAGTAGGGACCCGCCATCGCCTCAGCGTAAGAGCGTGGGGTCGGGATGTCTGGTGCATCCGGGTCTCCCTCAGGGGCAACTAGCAAGGACACGAGACGGGGCAAAGCAGCAGCAAGGCAGTGGAACTCCTCCTGTCTGTCCTCAAGGACGTCCGTGCCGAGGGCACACTCACCCCCGACGGACGGAGGACAGGCAGACGCAGACTCAGACCTAGCGACAAGGCTGGCAGC